CTTGTTATATATATATAGCTATATATACTGAGAATGGCCATGATTTTGTTCATGTGCTTCCCTTCCGTTTTCTTAAGTCTCTGGACGTAAGAGTATTTGGCATGCTAATCAAAGTAAAAGGGAGTCTGGTATAAAACTACATCATTGCAGTTTGACTGAAAATGGTAGATGCATGGAGCTAATTCTTTTTTTTTTTCCTCATAAATATTTTTTAATTTTGAAGTTTTAATCATCAGACGTCTCTGACACACTGGCTGGAAGCCATTGATGCGAAATCATTTCACTGTAACAGCTAATAGCCCTTTTCATGATTAAGCTCGACTCATAATTTTCAAGCCAACTTTCATACTTTCTTCATAAAAACAAACAAATAATGACGGAATTTACAATAGAAAAATTTTTTCGCTTTCATTCGAAGTAAATTTATTGATTAGCTAACATAGGGAGCAGTTGGTAAATCAGATCATTAAAATAATATGAAATGAATGATTGTTTAATGTTTAAGGTTTGAATTCATTGAGAATGTAGGGTCCCGTTTTATCCATTAAGGAGATAAAATTTAAATACATTTCATTGGTGCTTCTCGCGTTCGACGCGAACGTTAGTACTAAGCGGCAATTTTAAAGAATGATGAACTTGAGTCATTGCAAATAATTATGATCTTTCAGATAATTATACTTCCCTATATGGACTAACGGGAGGGATATATCTAGGTGTTCGGCAGGTGGACTCAGTCTAGTCACTTTGGCTGATGAGTAAACTTAAACTATTTTGGCAGCTAGACTTAGTTCAAGCACTTTGATCTGATCAAAAACTTTGTTTTAGGTATATAATTGTATTTGTGTATACATATATATTATTAAAGATTTTGAAATTTGATAATGTGAAATTCACATTAAGCACACAAAAAGCCATATTGGGCAAACATGACCCGGCAGTGCAAAAAAATAGTTCGTAAGCCAAATCATGACAGATAGAATCAGACCCAATAACTCGTCCAATAATAAGCACAAACCCTGTTTATTATGGCCCATATTTTCTTCTCAGAATTTTTTCTCTTCCCATGTTGAGTGTTCTTGTCTTGGTGGCTAAATTTGGATCTAACATATATTCGCTCAGGATTATCAAGTTTAATAAGTTGCTTTGGGATTACTTTTTATTTTGTTTATATTTTAATTTGAAGCTAAACATATATGATAAATTTAATTAGACATGGTTATTTTTGAAAATACTCTAAATATGCAAAAATTATTTAGAATATTTTCAAAAATATATTTATTTATTTTTAGAAATAAATAACAAAAACATTTTAAAAACATAACTAATAAACATGTTTTTAAAAATAAAGAAAAAAAAAAATAAAAGATAAAATTATTTCAAAACATTTCCTAAGAGTATAGCAAGGTTTTTTTTTTTGTTAGCACTAAGAGATTTACTTCAACAAATATTTCGGTGTCCAATAACTTAGGTGATGATTAAATGCAGTTATAAAAGGTCAAATTTTAATGATTTTATTTTTTCATAAATAAATTAAAAAAATGAAATGCATCTAATTGAGTTAACACTTTATAGTCTATACCAAACATTGACATTACAGAAGTAATTTTAACTTAAAAGTATTTTACTTGATTATGAACTCATGAAGAGACAGGCGTGCAATGTGAAGAAGATGAGTTAGGCTAAAAAAAAATCTAAAGTTGTGTTAATTCTGAGTGCAGCCTTCGTGAACTGAATTTAAAAGAAGAACTGAAAAAAAAAAGAGCTGTTGACATTCTTTTTTGACCAACTGTTACAAAAAATGAACCAAGTTGAATCCTTTTTATCGAAAAAGTGATCAGCAGCAGGCAGTATAAAATAAAAGAAAGCATATAAACGGATATAATTAAAAAATTTAGAAGCTTTAATGATCGCATCTTCAGGAATCCAATGAAAAGTGAAAAGAAAAAGTCGAAATTTTTCCGTATCTACTATTCATTTCTGATATTTTCGTAATCGAGTAGGCAGAGTTTCTCTTCGTGTAGCTCTCAATGGACAGTCAGGAGACTATAAAGAACAATAAATGGCGCAATAAAAAGCAGAGAAAGGAGTCGGAAAAGTAAAGAAGGGAGACTAATTAGAAGTTTATATGCCTGCTTCTCTCTCCACTTAGTTCTGAGTAGAGAGGAGGAGAGGAGAGGGGAGTTGGATGGCGGATGAAAGCTTTGGCCTTTGTGATTGTTTGTTAGAAGGCTGAAGTCGTTAGATTTGCGGTTTCTTCCTCTTTTTCTTTTTTCTGAAACTGTTTGCTTTTAGTTTGTGAGGTTGTTTGTTGTTTTCCCGGGAAGACTGACAGGGAGCAGAGAGCAGGTGTACTCCATGGAGGGAGCATGATGGGGTCTCTGCTGCTGAATGCTGGTGTGGAGAATGCCTACTTATAGAAGACAACCATAGAAGCCATGGCAATGGCTTTGTAAGGTGGCTCTCCTCTCGTTTTCCCTCTTTTAAAAGTTTGTTTTTTCTATTCAAGCGCTGGTTCTGGATTCTTTCTGCATTTTCATAGTCGGTTCGACTTCACCATCCTCTGCTCCTTCTTCTTCTTCCGGGCCCTTTTCCTCTAAGTTAATCTTTAGTCATTTAATTTTTGGTGGCGTATTTAGTAAGTTTATTTTTTTAACATATTGGTCTACTTTATTTTCTGCAAGTTGATGAGATTCCTTAAGCATATGCTCTACAATCTACTATCTTGTTTGAAAACAAAAACATAAATAATGGAAAGATGCGCTGTGTCTGTGCTTTCATTGTGTTCTTCTCCTTACTTCGAGGTGCTGTTTTGCTTTTCTGCAGGAGATGTGACTTCGGGAGTTAATTGAAGGAATTTGGATGTTGGGGTTTGAGCCTTCTTGAATGATCAAGCGTTGGATCTTAAACAAGTTTTTAAAGAAAATCAAATCAAATCTGACGAAAGAAAATCGCATTCATTAAACGCATGGAGTAATGTTTACGGTGTCAGTTTAGTGCTCGTGGTTGTCTCCCCTTTATAATTATTGCTCGCTGGCCTACACAGTGCTTTGTTCTTCATCTTCGTCCATCAGTCCACTCTCTGATTCCATGTCTTGTGTTATCTGCTAAGAAAAAGTTGAAGAGACGTTTCTTCTGCTTTCTGTCTTCTGCCTCAATTTGCGTTGAGAAGAAGAGTTTCTTGTTCTCCATATTCTGAAACTTTTATCGAAGTCGTGTTTTTGAATTTAAGAAGATGAAGTTTATGAAGCTTGGTTCGAAGCCCGATTCCTTCCAAACAGATTGCGACAACAATATGTAAGAGTTCTTAAAAATTTAATCTTGAATGTTGGATCTGAAACATATTTTCATTGTAATGCTTCACGGAGCAAAAAAGTCTTTTTTGTTCTTGTTTGCATTTGGCAAAGTGAAGTTTCTAGTTTTCTAAGCTGATAGCTATGACTTGTTTTATGGACAAAATGATTTAAATGGTTTTAGCTGAGGGATTTAGTGCTTAGGTATAAATCTACGTTTTTCTGAAAGGGATGCTCTTGAAGTTTGATCCCGTATTGTTTGATGCTCATATTTGGTGGCATATCAAACAGCAGTTTATGGCAGTTTCTCTGCTTCTTTTTTCCTTTCTTTTGCTACACCATCAAATGATTAGTGTGTTTTGCAACACCATCGAATGATTAGTTTGCAGGATAAGTTGATATAGTCATTATTGCTATTATTATTATTATTATTATTATTATTTCTATTATTATCATCGTTATCATTATTTATACTATTATGTGATGATCAATATTAGTTTGCAATTTCTTATTTATTATAGAAAAAGTAATATCATCCATAGTTCACCATTGACCCAATTTATTTATATTTACTGTTGAGAGAAAAAAATATTGTAAAACTTTTAGGGTCTTTTTGGGATTTTTTGAATTATTATTATTATTTCTTTGCGTTTATTTTTAAAAATATGTTTGATTAATTATTTTTTTGTTGTTTTTTTGTTTTTTGTTTTTAAATCAACGCATTTTTAAAACACTCAAAACCACTTTTAGACAATTTTGAGTATTTTCAAAAACATCTCAAACCCTTTTGAATATGCCAAATATATTTTATTTTAAAACAAAATAAAATAATTAAATATATAAAATAACATAAATAACAAAAGTGATCCCAAATGTCCACTTCGTTGGCAAATTTCTTACTCTTTTTCCATGTATTAAAAGTGTTTTAACACTCTCTAGAAAGCGATTTACACTTTTTAATGATGCATGCTACATGATTTTTTTTCACTTTTATTTATTGAAGCATCATTATTTCCTTCAAATTTTCTGGATCTGTCCTCTTGAACTCACTTATAGAAGTAAAATCTAATTACGATTTCTGGATTTGTTTAGTGATAAAGACATCTAGATTATTTTAGAGCAAGAACAATGGAAGGAATCAACAACTTTATAGTTTTATTCGAAAGAAGAAACCATGATTACAATGTTCTAATTCATGGACTAACGGCCGTGATACAATTTTAATTCTACAAATATAGAAAAATTACTGAAAAGAACATGTTCGCTTTGTCTCCTTTTGGTTCAAATTTTAAGCCATATTCTTTGTAAAACATTTTTCAAGTATAAGGGATGATTTTTTATCTTCTGCCTTCTTATTAATTAAAAATTTTTCCCAACTTGTTATGAAAAAGCACATTGTTCTATTTGCCACCATGCTTTCTTGGAGACTGCATGCCTGATTTTTGCTTCTGCAGGAGGCACAACAGCCTTATCAATCTTGTTTGGCTGACTAATTCAAAATAACGTTTTTTGAACTAAATTTTCTATATCATGGGACATGAATGATAATTGATTTTGTTGTTTCTTTTGTCTGAAGAATAAATAGATATGTTTCTATGTTACAGAGTAGATCTGTGCGACTTGTTGGTTTCATCATGGATTGTAGATGATAAGAAGCGAAGAAATTAGAAAGCAAATTCTCTGTGCCTGTAATTTTCTTTGATTATCAACTGTATAACTTGTTATAAAATCAGCAAAATTTATTCATAATAATATGGAGAGCAAAAAAAAGACAATTGTAAAATAAAATTTTATTGAGCTTCCACTTGGGGGCCAAATGATTTTTAATGGTTGGCCGTCTCAATGCCCCTCCTTCCTAACTCTCTTTCCTCTCTTCTGGTTTATGTCTGTTTAAATAAAACATTTGCCTTTGCAGGTTTGTGGCAACTGAGTTGGCGAGTGACATCATTGTAAAAGTGGGAGATGTGAAGTTTTTTCTACACAAGGTGATGAAAACAACTATACTGATTTTTTTTTATTTGATAAATTCATTTTGAACAAACTTCTCGTATCAGGTATCAGTCATGCATGGCTATTTAGGCTATTATTCCGATGTTAAGGACAATGTTAAATGGATTAAGTAGGCCGAATAAATATTAAGAGAAAAAAATGCATGAAAATCTTAGTTCTCATAATGCGGAGAAATTTTAAGTGGTTCAAATATTAAATCTTTTACATCTACAGTGGTATAAATTTGAACAAATTGCACAAGTTAGAGTTATAGGAGATAATATCCTTTTAGTACTGGAAGGTTAGCACTGTGATAAAATAGTAAAAAAAAATAAATAATCAGAATATTATTGCAATTTGCCTAAAAAATATTTCATAGATTCTGTTTTTTTTAGGGGCAAACACTGTTAGGTTAGTAATAACATAGCATTAAAGATTTTAAATATGTGGCAATTTTATATGATTCGTAGAGATTCACTGGTGGCTATGTTCACACAGTTCAAATTTTTACAAACATTAAAAAGAGGCGCTTGGAGATAACACTTTATATGAATAAAGCAAAATAATATCACTTTAATGTATTAATGATTTAGAGGGAACATCAAACCAGCTGTGAAGATGTGAGTTGGAAGTGGAGAGCAAAGCATTGATTCTACTTTTTCTTCTCTTTTTATGTCCTTTTCTATAATGTTAGTCTCTTCCTCTTTTTCCTTCTCTTTTTCTTCTCTCTCGTTCTCTTTATTTACTTATGATTATTAGATGTTCAACATAATACGATTTTGTCTTTATATAGTGCTAAAGACATGATGTAGGGAAAAAGCTTGAGTTTGACGATTATCATCTTGAAAAATAAATTAAGAAAAAAGTTATGTAGCCTCCATCTAGGAAGATCAAGTGTGAATTGAGTTATCTAGTTTCAATTTTAAAAAATAAATGTGAATGAATCTTATATGGGTAGTCATAAATCTTAAAAACAACATCAAATTTAGACAGAAAAATTAATGAAATTAAACTCAACACGTTAATCTCCAGATTAGAGTCTGAATTAATATACCAGTTTTAAGTCGTTTTTTAAACTATAAAGAATATTTGATAAAGTATTTTGAATTGTGTAATGTCCATTGCACATCTTCTCAACATTCTTTTCCTTAGTAGACATGTATTGTTTGTGTAATATATGTACTTCTATATAAGAAAATCGACAACTAATGCATTTGAGATTAGCCATGTGCTCTTTATTTTTTTCAATCATTATCATCAATTTCTTAGATAACTTTAAGTGCTCAATGAATGACATACTTATAATTTTTGCCCTTAATATGTTTAACATTTGGCCTTATATTACGATCTATTCCCTTTACGAAAATGTTTTTTTTTTATTTTCCACAAATCTTTCATGTCAAACTCCTTTAACATTTATATTATTAGTTCTTTGATCTCTTACGTGTCATCTTAGATAATTAATATATTATCTACATGTAATAATAAAATAATACAATTTTCTTGTTTCTTTAACATAATAGTTGTAGTTGACATTACATATGCAAATTTCAATCCAGTGCGTGAACTCATCAAACTTTTGGTAACATTAGCAATGTGTTTGCTTTAAGCAATGAATGGTTTTAGTTACATAAGAATTTATTTCCTGGTTCAATAAATTTTTTTGGTTGCCCCATATAGATTATTCGTCATAGTCGCTTTAGAGAAACGTTGTTTTGTTAATATTTATCTGTTAGCAGTGTATATTTTCTTGCTACAATAATGCTTAATATTAAATGAATAGTCATTATTTTAACTATTTAAAAATATATATCTCTATAAGTTTAATATCCATTTTTGACCTTGTCTTGTTTTCTTTGTTTTTTATTTATGCCTTTTTCACTTTTTATATCCATTTTTTTGTGATGCTTTTTTATAATTAGTTAACTTTAGTTTCATAACAAGTTCTCACTTGATAGAATATTTAACCTGTATTGTTTCATTGTATTATTCAAACTTTTCTGCATTTATATCAATAAGTAATAATATGGTGAATAATGTTTGTTGGTTTAGTGGTCTTGGTGTTACTGTTATAAAAAGATTAGTCTTTTCTTTCATAGCAGTTCCCACTTGACGAAATGTTTTACCTTTATAGTTTCATTGTATAATTCGAAATCTTCTGCATCTGTAAAAAGCAAGTAATAATATGAAGGAGAATAATTGTTTGTTGGTTTGTGAGTTTTTATGTGATCTATTAACTTGGATCATAGGAGTATTAGGCTCAAGTTTCTCTTAAAAATTTTTACGTGTTTTCTAGCTTAAGTTTTAGAAAATTGCCTTCTTTAGTTTAACATGCTAGGGAGTGGAAATGTCTTTTATTGTACTGTATGTCTTATTTTTATAATGCATATTGATTGAAGTTAATATTTCTAATAATTTATTTCCTTCGCCATCTTAGAATTTATATCTACGATATCTAGTGAAGTAACACTCCTTCAATTTGTAGTCAAAATTATCTCTAGTGATCGGATCTAAGTCAATATATGATAAAAAATTTAAAATCATTAAATGTGATAATATTTTCTTTTCACTAAGTTTCCTTAGGAAGCCAAAAATTGAGTCAAACTAATAATACTTGATTGATTAGATATGTCGAGTTAATTGCATTACCCAAAAGGCCTTTAGAAGACCTACATGCAATCTCATACTCTTTACACATTCATTGATAGTTGTATTTAAACACTTTATTACAATAACAACCACAAGTTTTTATCACACTAAGTGGTGTCGGTAACACTAATCATTATTCTTCATTGTGTCCTATTGAGTGTCATATTTTCATTTAATTCTAATAGATTAAGATCATTTTTTATACAATATTCCAAGTCTTTTTTGGCTTACCTTTGCCTTAACATAAGTTGAATCTAAAACATCCACTCTTCTAATCGGATCATCAGATCGTCGATGTTTAATGTGGCCAATAAGCCCGAAACATTCTTCTACTTTAACCAACCAACTTGAATTCTACTAATAACATTCACATCTATATCACCATACTTTGAGCAACAAACTTGAGGTATTACTATAAAACTCTACCACATCTATAACATTACTATGTAGAGCGTTCATACATTTTAATGATTTGATCCCCCATAGTTACAACTCTACCACTAGAGGTATTACTATAAAATTACATTCCATGTGTTTAATTTTAGATCTACTCAAACAAAGGCCTTTATATTACAATGTGGACCTCCATAATTCAAATTTTCTTGAACTCTTTCTCTAAACTTATCCACAAGAAGGATATCATCAATGAAAAACATACACTAAGGTACATCCTTCTGTAAATGTCAAATAAGAGCATCCATAACTAAAGCAAAAAATATATAGCTTAAAGTCGATCCTTAATGTAATAAAACTAAAATAGGAAAATACTTGGTCTCGAACACAAGTAACAATTATAGTATATATATCTTTAATGACTTGAATATACATCATATCAACACCTTTTTTATCTAGAACTCTCCAAAGAATTTCTCTTGGAACCTTAAAAATCAGATGTAAATCCTTCTTATTTCTTTGTTCTTCTCCATCAAACCTCTCAATAAATATATAGCTTCCATAATAGACTTGTCCGACATAAATAAAAATTGATAATGGATATCTTTCTATTATGTCTTAACCTATGTTCAATTACACTCTCCCATAATTTTAAAGTATGACACATTAACTAAATTTTTCTATAATTTTCACACTCTTGTGCATCCCTTTATTCTTAAAAATGGGAAAATACTCTTATTTGACTTAGACATCTTTTTAGTTCTTCAAATAATATTAAAGAGTTTAGTAAGCCAAAAAACTCAAAAATCTCCTAATGCGACTGTAAAAACAGTTCTATAAAATTTTGCTTAGACTCCCTATAGGCTGCTTTATATTTTTCACAGTTCTATAAAATTTTGCATTTATACCATTTTTATAATATAACTTCTTATATATTATTTTTTCTTACACACTATTATTCCGCCACCAATTATTTTTTTTAATAAAAAGTTTTCTTTTTTGATTCTCTAAGTAGATCTTTTACACTTATTTAATAGTGTTTGTTATTTTATCCCAAATAGAATTAGATTCTTCGTGAACATCCTAAGTCTTGAAATCTTGAAATTTACTAAAAAAAAAATAATTTTATTTGTGTATTTTATGTGCCCCTAATTCTATGATAAGATTAAGAGTGAACTTCAAGATTTCTTCATCTTAAAAAATAGAACTAATAACCGTTATTAAGTACTTTAATTTTCACTTGGAACGACTTTACAAGCTTTATATTCTAGATCATCTCTTTTTCTCATAATAAAATTATTCAATTTGTGTTGTCTTAGATTCATTTTTACAAGCAATAACATACTCATCTCTTTTCTTAAATAAAGAATTATAAATAATAAAATCATAAGTTAAAACAAAATCTAGTATAATTCTACTTTCTTCATCAATCAATGCAAAACCGTAGCCATCATGATTATTTCTAAAATTTTCTTTCACTCTATCAATGTGTCCATTTAAATCTTGCTTATTTGACACTACACCCGGGTGCCGGTGTCGCAACCTTTGCACATATTTCATTTTATGCAGGACATACAACACATCGCTTCTAGGGGACGATCTAGCATTTAAACAATGATTTAAAATATTCATGTCTTGATTTTTTGATAAAAAAGTTTATATTGGGTGTCGGCTACCTAACGCTACCCTCTATTTTCTGCATCCGATGATTTGGACCCGACAATGACAGTGTTTATATTCAACCACTTAGTTATTCTATTTTGCTATGAAAAATTTTTAATCGTTTTTTCTATATAAATCTCACGAGTGATTATGGGTTCTATGGTCATATTTTCATCATGATTAATTCATAGGCGCTTATATTTATTTATAATTCTAATTTCTATCAAATTTACTCTACAAAAGTTGTAAGCATAAAAAATATAGTTTTAATAAAATGAATCCATACTTTTTGGTACAATCATTAATAAAGGTAATGCAACCCAAAAATACTTAATAATTGAGGGATGGATCCCATTAATCTAACTGTATCACCTCCAGCCTTTTGGATCTCACTACTCAATCTTTGAAAAACTAACTCTTTTATTTTCAGAATACACCCTTCATAATAGTTGAATTTAATATATTTTAAATATAAAATTTAATGTTTTGAGTGAATTTCTTAGACCATTTTCATTTATTTGGCCTACACTACGTCATTGATTTGAATCTTCAGGACTTCACTATCTGAAGCTCTATTTGATTGAGTACGCTTTGATTACTGTTTGTAGTCTAATTTGCTTTGCTTATTTTTCTCAACGGATGGATAATTCAGTTCCCCCTTCTGTCAAAGAGCAATCTCATGCAAAAGCTGGTGGTTTCTGCTAGCGAAGAAAACATTGATGAGATTCACATCCCCGACATTCCAGGAGGACCTGCTTCCTTCGAAATATGTGCCAAGTTTTGTTACGGCATGGTCGTTACCCTCAATGCTTACAATGTCGTCGCCGTGCGTTGCGCGGCGGAGTATCTCGAAATGCACGAGACAGTCGAGAAAGGCAATCTCGTCTATAAAATCGAAATCTTCCTGAGCACCGGCATCTTGCGGGGATGGAGAGACTCCATCCTTGTCCTTCAGAGCACTACATCTCTGCTACCATGGTCTGAGGACCTCGAGTTAGTAAGCCACTGCATTGACTCAATAGCTTCCAAGGCTTGCATGGATATTTCTAAGGTTAACTGGTCATACACGTACAGCAGAAAGAGATTGATCAGTACTGAAAATGGTATTAGAGGACAGCAGTCTGGGCCGAAGGATTGGTGGATTGAGGACTTATGCGAGCTTGATTTGGATTTATATTCAAGGGTTTTATCAGCCATTAAGGCAAAGGGGAGAGTGTCGCAAAAGGTGATAGGGGAAGCACTGAAAGCTTATGCTTATAGAAAACTTCCAGCTTTTGGGAAAGCCAAAGCGGCTGAAAGATGCAATTTTGTGAAAAGTGCGTCGATTTTAGAGGCTATTGTTGGGCTATTGCCATCAGAGAAAGGCTCGGTTTCATGCAGGTTCCTTCTCAAGCTACTGGGAAGTGCAACAATGCTGAATTGCAGTGAGATTATAAAGATGGATTTGGTGAAGAAGATTGGAAGGCAGTTAGACGAAGCACATTTGTCTGATCTATTATTTCCTGCTCTTGGAGAGGAAGAAGACACAATTTATGATGTGCAAATGTTTCTTAGTATAGTGAGGGAGTTTGTTCTGGCTGAGAGACAGGAACCAGATCTTGTTTTGCATGGCACAAAGATAGCTGTTGGGAAATTGGTTGATGGATATCTAGTGGAGATTGCGAAGGACCCTAATCAGTCCCTCACAAAATTCATGGAACTTGCTAATATAATACCAACTGATGCAAGGCCAGTGCATGATGAACTCTACCAGGCCATTGATTTATATATGAAGGTAACTTTTCATGCTGAAAGTTCAATTCTTCTTCAAACGTCTTTCTGAAGAATCTCTATAATTTACAGATTTAATGTTCTTTCTCAAGAATACTTAAAGATATGTTTTTTTTTTCCTGAATAATGTGATTTGTTTGTTTCCTTCCATTGGGGGAGAGCAGGAGCACCAAGAACTCAGCAAGAGTGAAAGAAAGAAGCTTTGCAGCATCATGGATTGCAGAAAGCTTTCCCCGGAGGCCAGCGCTCATGCTATACAGAATGAGAGTCTTCCACTGCGTGTGGTGGTGCAGGTCCTCTACTTTGAGCAGCAAAGAGCAACCGCCCCTCCGGCCACCACATGCAATGGCTGCTCCGGCACCGCCGAGATCGGAAGCGGCTCCAACGGAAGCCTGAGATCAGTCGTAACAGAGGAGAACATGGACTCTGTACCAACAGTTGAAGACATTAAATCCTTGAAGAGCATGGTGTTGGTTAATGGTGCAATGAAGGCCGGCCATAGGAACAGCAGTGGTGATTCGAACAAAGCCAGCAAGGACAAAGGTAGCGAGAGGGTGAAGGCCATTGCCATGCCGAAGAAGATATTTGGGAAGCTGTTACCGAACAAGGGAGGCAGTGGCTCTGATACCACAGGCAGTCCAGATTTGGAGAAACCAGAAGAGTCAAAGTCTACTCCATTAAGGAATAGAAGGCATTCTGTTTCATAGTAGAGCTGCTTATTTATTTGAAAGAAGCAGTGGTTCTTTGGTAGGCGAGTAAGGATATATTACATGTATTATAGAGAGAAAAAAGAAGTAAATTTGCACTTTTTAAGTTTATGAGAAATTGTATGAATTCTCATCATTTGTATAATTAACTGTTGCCGCAAAGTTTCATGATCAGTCTTCTGTGGTATATTATAGTTTCAAAACTTTCACTTTGCCTTCTATGGGTTTCTTGTGTAATTCTTGTTTTTTTGTTGATCAGAAGGTTAAACGTTAGATATTGATTTTATAATTCTCTAATCTTGTGATTAGGCAGGTATTAGATCTTGTGTGAAAATTTGAAGGTATATTGAAAAAAATTGCTTAAAGTTGAAAGGTTTGTATTTGTTTGATGGTTATGTTAAATTGTTTTTTGTAGTGTTGGGTATCAAATAAAGGATCTCAAAACGAACAAGGCAAGCAAGGCCTCTACTCGGTTAATCTTCACTAAGATAGCAGAAAGCAAGCATTAGATACTCAAACTATACCGAAAACTGATTTGAATCAAAGGTCCTGTCATGTTGAAGTTCTTAAGGTCATATCAAATCAAAGTAAGTTTTTTACGAACAAGTGTTTCTCCTACTAAATGTAGCAAGAAGCTATGTCCCTTGAATTCCTAGTTCTTCAAAAGCAAGAAGTTGGAAATTAGTTTCCCCACCTTCAGATTACACAGTGATAGGATGCAAGTGGGCCTATAAAATCAAAACGCACTCAAACTATTGCGAGAGATTGGTGGCTCTAGGGTTCAAACGGGAATATGGTATTAACTATCTTAAGACATTTAGTTTGATTGCCAAAATGACTACCATTCAAATCTTTGAGACGAAGGCTATGCAAAACAATTGGGATAACCTTCAACTAGAAGTGTCAAATGCCTTTCTTCTGGGGGTTCTAGAAGAAGTTGTTCATATGCCTCAACTATAAGGATTTCGCGCTCAACAAAATCCACAGAATGCTTGTCTCTTACAAAAATCTATATAATATCTAAAGCAATCACCCCATCAGTGGAACTCTACATTTTTTACATATCGAGTTCAACAAGGTTTTAATTTCAGCAAAACAGACCGATCTCTTCTTATATATCAAAAAAATGGTGTTATGATTTTCTTTCTTATCTATGTGGATGATATTTTCATAACAAATATTAATCTGAATTTTATTCAAAATCTGTTCAAATTACTTCATAAAATATTTCAAATTTAGGAGACGTGGGACATTACAACATTCCTCAACTTTCAATTTCACAAGTTGAAATCAAGTTATCATTTAAATTAAGCTCTATATACTTTAGAATTACTAAACAAGTCTGAAATTCAGAATTGCAAAGAGATACTTAATCCCTGCTCTTCTAAGGTCCCTAGCAATCCAGGCACACAACAACCATTTTTTTTATATAACTCTTTACTGACAACTCACAGGCTTGTTACAATATCTTACGGCCACCTGATTGGACATAGCTTGTGTTGTTAATAAGGTGTGTCAACATATGCATTCTTTAACAAATGAAAACTTCCAACAAATCAAATATATTCACCGACATCTGAATGGAACTACAACTCATGGACTTTGTTTTACCAACAAATCTTCACCAGTTCAATCTTACTCTGATTTGGACTGGGCAGGGGAACTGATTACTAGAAGATCCGTCTTAGGTCATTGTACATTATACGGTGAGAATCTGATCTCATGAAAAGTTCAAAAAAAAAAAATACTAGCTAAATTCTCTACAAAAGAGGGCACCCTATTTGGCAATAACATTTGTCATATGGATTCAAAGACTACCATCTGAATTTCAAAATCCTATGGGCATACCTACAACTTTTTCTTGTGATAACACTTCAACAATTGTGTTGGCTAATAATCCTATCTTCTATGCTCACAACAAGCACATATAAATTGATAATCACATTATTCGAGATAAAATCACAACAAAAAATTTATTGTTTGGCATATCGGCCACGCAAGAACAAAATTGCATATGTTTTCACAAAAGCCCTATCTACATCAATTTTTTAAAAGTTTGGGAACAAAAATAACATCTAGCCTCTACATGCTAAGTTTGAGGAGGACTATTAGTATTGATATGTCTATTATTGTAATTATATCTACCTCTACAAGTACTAGACAAGCTGTAAGGACTTGCCTATATATAGCTTGCCTCTGTTATGTAAAATATAGCTAATATTAATAAAAGATTGAGCAACAGTTTCTCCATTTTTCTATTGTGTAAAAATAGCAATTCAAGAATTGGGCGCAAAAGACAGAATGTGAGAGATTCGAACTCGGGAAGATGGAAACAAAATTTTGAAAGCTATGATTGGAAGAGAGAACCTACGAAGGAGATGTTTTGATACTTTGTTAGAATTTAGGGAGAGAGAAAATTGGAGAAACTGCTGCTTAATCATATATTAACATTAGCTATATTTTACACATAGAGACAAGTTGTATAGGCAAGTCCTTACGGCTTGTTAGGTACATGTAGATATCTTTACAGTAATAGACATAACAATATTAATAAATAAAACAAATTTACACATAAACTTGTACAAAGTTATTATTTAAAGCACAATTGTCAACAATAATGATTCAATTTTGTATGAAAATTAAAATAATAAATAGCTTGAAATCCAAAAATATTGCAAGAATGTACAAAATAGAAACAATAGGATGTAGCCCGCATGCCGTGATATAATCAAATCAAAAGGAAAGATAGGTGAGAGGGGGCATTAAGATACCCCTCCCTCTGGTATACAACACACGTAGTAAGTTTCCCCGAATTAGTTAAATGTATACCAAAAAAGCAGAATAAAAACAAAAGTGATATTATGAGAAAAGGCCAATAAGGATCCACAACGATAAAAATGTGGATACCAATGGAAAGTGCAGATGATAGTTTTGGATGGTCTGATTGGAACAAAAACTTATCCAATATGTTGGAGAGAGCCTTAAGATAAAACAACATCATAAGGGTGATTATCTAGACATATAGATTTGATGTGTCAACCATACCTCCAGTAAAAGCCAACAAACAAAAACCGCCCCATATGAAAAGTAGAAAAACCTCTAATGCCTTTATTCAACCAGAAGTATGTGCTCCAGGCTCCAGTTGAAGGTATATCTCATATGCAAAAAAAAGGAAAACCTGCTAAATAATAGAAAAGTAGATTGCACTTTCAAACTACACGAAGTGGTAGCAAGCTCCTCCACATCACCATTGAAAAGCACCAGCGCTAATTCTGTAAATCCCCAAACACATTTGTATAATAGAAGTTCAAACTAAAACACCATTTCTTATCACTGAAATAGGTAGTGGCGACAACATAAAAAAAAACTCACAAAGCCTTCTCAATATAATCTCACACTGATATAAGTTAGACAGCAACAACCAAAATAACCCCTCCAATCCAGACCAAAACAAGACATCAGAGGTCCAAACATAAAACAGATCTAGACAACCAAAATAACCCCTCCAATCCAGACCAAAACAAGACATCAGAGGTCCAAACATAAAACAGATCTAGCCAAAACCCAAACAACAACCACCACCAAGCAGTAAAGGGGGTAAGATCCCACCAACAGTTAAGGGCATGCTCCACTCCCCTACAGTAAAACCGATACAACTCAAAGTAACGATCCAGAATACTCCAACAACAGAATACCAAAGCCAATGGCCTAATGAAAGTATGAGAAAGCGAGGAGAAAGAGAGACGGGTATGGCCGCAAAAGCCTATAGGGCAATACAGTGGCTCGCCCTCAAAATAGAAAATTAATTTCATTATCAACACACCAAAGTCATCAGAGTGTAATAAATGTTCCATCAAATAAAAACAAGCAAAATTCAGTAATTCTGAGGTTTGGCAAATCCAACAAATCCCCACCAATAAGTCGTCTCAACTTGAGAGAAGGGTTTGAGCCTACCACCAAATTGGCTAAACCATTCATGGCCAACCAATGGGCTGACCGATTCTCCTCCCTATAAATGAAACTCCAATCAATGCTCAAGTTCCAATTTTTTTGATACCCCAAAATTCCGTTTAAGCAACCCATAATATGTTAAGGCGGTATTTGTTTCCCGCACAAATAATTCCACAAAAGTAAGGAATCCAACTCAACAGTCAAAACCGACCAACCATTATTACCAGCCACCATAAGAGCCAAAAGAAGAGCCCATGCCTCAGCCTCAAGGGGGTCAGATGCAATACAAGGCAAGGAGAAGAAAAGAATGCACTTCCCCTCTTAATCCCTTAAAAGCCCACCTACACCCGCCCCCTGAAATGACCAACTACCATCTACGTTCACCGCACTCACCTAGCCAATTTGGGAAGAGCAGTCCCAAAATTGTTTAGATGAGTGCTAACAAAGAATTTTTCCTTAAACTGCTTAGGGGGCACACCCACTAAACCATTTTGGGAAGAGCAGCCTCAAAACTGTTTAGATGAGTGCCAACAAAGAAATTTTCCTTAAAGTACTTGGAATTACGTAGTTTATGGATATATACCACGCACACTGTGTGTGTGTGTGTGTGTATAATGAGTATTAAATAAAAAAAAAAGATTAATATATTATCTTTGTAGCCCAACGATGAGGAGAAGGTCATTTCGAGCCCATCTAATAGGATAAGGAGAGTCCTTTTTTCTTCTTTTCCCTAAGCTCCAAGGGCTGATCCAGGCACTTTACTTGGTCGTCGTGCATTCCATTTCATTCCCATACTCACTCTTGTTTTAGGTGGATTTTCTGACCTTACAAACATTAGAGTATTGTACTTAGCCTACAAACTTCATATTCGTCACTCGCAGCAATACTAGAATTTATCAAATATGTTAAAATAATAAACAAGTCTGAGATGGAAACCATGAAAGTTTTTTATTTTAAGTTAGAACATTATTGAATGACTCGAACAAAAAATGATAAGCCATCAATTTTCATCAACATGATTCTTGAGGCGTGGCATGAATCTCACAAAAAAATTCGGCATGAATCTTTCCAATTTCAATTAAAAGCTATCCTAAATTCCAATTTTAGAAAACTTATAGTAAAACTAATCAGCTCGAAGAGACGAACACAACAGTGACAAAACTTGTCCAATCTGAGTCAAATCAAGCCAATAAACTATTTTTAG